CCGGGTCTATTCCTTAGTGGCTAGGGTCACCCGCACATAGAATAATAATTTTTCTGTACTTTTCAAGCATGGTCTCATTCATTATCACAAAGTCTCACCATATAAACAAGTGATTGAGCCATAATACTTCACAAAAGAGTTCATCAAAGTAATAAAAATCGTATGCCGCAAGTATTTAGACACTTAGTAAAACATTTTGTAAAGGTAGAAATGAACAAGCATTATGTATCATTTTTAAAATGTTTAGGGATACGAAAAAAATACGTAGCATGCCAAACCACTCACCTCTAGTCCAAATGATATGCTTCTTGAGTGTTGCTTGTTACTCGAAATAGAGTGAGATGTTATTGATGCCTTTCGTCTTTTTCTCACAATTTCTTTTCTCCTTTGATGAGGTTTTCTTCCTTTCTTCTTCTCTCTTTTACTCTCTATTCTTTCTTGAAAGTGGAAGATTACTTGTGCACTTGTATCTTAATCCAATCTCCAAATTCCCTATTTATAGGCATCCTAGGATTATTTTAGAGAATATTGACATGTGACATTCTTAGGGGAGATTCCCTAGAATATTCTACCATCTCCCCTTTCCTAGATCCTTTTAGGCTTGAAGCTTATTTTGCACATGGCAATTTCACAAGTATCTAGATTCATCTATGATATTCTAAAGTGTGCTCCAACCTTCTACGTCCTTCTAGAACTTTTCGAAACATTCTAAATCCCTCTATAACCTTCTAGTATTTCTTAGAACCTTCTAAAATACTCTAGACTTCTCTAGATTGTTCTAGAATTTTTCGGATTCTTCTAGAACTTTCTAGAAACTTCTCTAACATTCTAGATTATTCTAAATTCTTCTTTAAAAATTTTTCTTATTCCTTCCAAAATTATATTCCCCAACTAGTTCTTTGCCAAAATGTAATAGGGTATTACAGTTCTCCTTACTGGTCCCATGACTTCTGTTAAATTCAATGGGACCAATTTATTTTCATGGTCAAGCTTAGTTCAAGTATTTCTTAGAGGTAAAGGTTTTAAAAAATATTTGGTAACTCCTAAACTCAAGAAAGATACTTCTGGGTATGATCAGTGGAAACAAGAAGATGCTCAGATTATCTCTTTACTACTGAATAACATTGAGCCCCTATTAGCTCTACCTAATTTTATCTTGGCAATGCCAAAGACATATGGGATCACTTGACCACTATGTATTCTGGCATTGGTAATTTTATTCGTACTTACTATGTTACTCGGACTCGCCTCTTTTGTGGGAGTACCCGTGTCGACACGATCCGACACGGTTGCGGGTACGGGATTTGTGTCCGGTACAGTAACTTTATTCCAGGCACGACTGAGATCACACAAGTCTCAAATTTTTCACAGAAATCACATGTCTAGTTCAGTCTTTCAAGCAAAAAAAAAAAGAGAGAAGAGAGAGAGAAAGACACCAGATGAAATCAAACACACAGAGAGAAGAAAGACACACAGAGACCAGAAATTAAAGGAGAAGACTTCAGTAACTTACCTCATTGAGTCCAGATTTGAGCAAATCCAACCATATTCTACACGGATCTAGGGCTTGGGAGTTGGGCTTCATTGCTGCGAGCTGCGACTAGGGGCCAGGAGGTACCAGGTATGTTCTTCTTCTTCTTCTCTTTCTCTCTCTCTCCAGCACCGGCATCGCCCATCACGAACGCCCATCGCCTCTCTGTTCTCTGGCTTTGGGTTTATTCCTGGGTCACGAGATGTGCTGCCTTGTATATATGTATATATATATATATTTTGGTTATGAGTAGGAATAATTACATTCAATACCCCCACTGCATTTCAACTTTTTAATACCCTCATTGCATTTAATACATACACTGCATTTTAACTTGTTATAAGTATGTTAATTATTTTTTTTCTTTTTGTAATTATTCTTTTATGTTATTATTATTTGTTAAATTGGTATATTAAATAACTGCAAGTCATTTAATATACCAATAATTGGTAGAATTAAATATTTATGTGTGTATAAATTGTGTATACAATAATTTTAATATAAATAAAATTAGACTGTATCCCCATACCCGTATCCAAATCTGGATCCATATCTCGTATCTGCTATTTTTTCACTTGAGATGTCAGACACCTAAATTCACACCTGCACCCAATACGCACACCCGCGTCCGAGTAACATAGCGTACTTATGAAGTGTGCAAATAATATTTTTGCCTGGAGCAGGTTGTTCTGAGTTTTGAGGATTATTACTTTCACGTTTAGGGAGTTTGTGAGGAATTGAAGCTCTACCATTCGTTCACTACTGATGCAGCAGTTTGGCAGAAGAAACATGAAGATTTGAATGTTGTTCGGTTTCTGGTCGGTTTNCAGGGAGTTTGTGAGGAATTGAAGCTCTACCATCCGTTCACTACTGATGAAGCAGTTTGGCAGAAGAAACATGAAGATTTGAATGTTGTTCGGTTTCTGGTCGGTTTGATACCTGAATAAGAGTCTATTCGCTCTTATAGATTTTAGGTGGCTCTAGAGTTCCCTCTCTACTTTAGGTTTTCTCTCGTTTACAACATGCTACTTTGTCTACTGGCTCTTCAACATTGATCATGGTGTTTCCACTGAACGCTCAACTCTTGTTGTGGTAATTGGCCATCGAGGTGGACGTGGTAATTGCGGTGGTTGGGGAGGTCATACTAGAGGTCGTACTAGCAGTCGTTGAGATCGTACTGGATCTCATTCCTATATTCACTGTGGTCGTGGAGGGCACATTGTTGATTTCTATTAGGATTTATATGGCAAACTTTCCAGTGTTGCTAATTAGGTTTCCTATCAGGACAACACTTCGGTTGTTACTTCTATACATTGGTTAACTCCACTTGACTTTAGGTCAGTTACTCTTACACGAGAGGAGTATACTCAGTTCCTGTCCTAGCAACATGCTGTTCCATCTTCCTCCACCTATGTTACTCGGACGCGGGTGCGGGTATTTGGTGCGGGTGTGAATTTAGGTGTTTGACATCTCAAGTAAAAAAATAGTGGATACGAGGATGTGGATCCAGATTTGGATACTGGTTCTGGGATACGGTCTAATTTTATTTTGTTAGAAATGATTTATGCATTTAGAGTTAAAAAATTTCTTTCAAGAAACAACAAAATGAAGAGATGTCATTATATATTAATAAGCTTGATACTAAAATCTGGTGGCTCCACAATAGGAATTGATCTGGGTCTTAAATAGACCAAAAAGATCCGGAAATTTCAAACATTGTTCCCAGATTACATAACCCAAAACAACATAAAGTAGTACTCCTTAGTCTAGCATACTTAAAAAGGTAGTACCCCTTATTCCATCATACTTAATACTTAATACTTAGTCTACTTGCAACCTGCAAAAAGACTTTTAATTTTCATCGTCATCTAGTTGTCCATCATGTGCCTTCACCCTCCTCAAAAGCCATCATCTCCAACTCAGGTTCATCAAGAGAACATTGTGCATGTTCTCCCACTTCTTGGCCTTCAATGTCAAACTCATCTCCACCTAAAAATTATCAAACAATATATATATATATATATTATCAAAATGTAGTATACAGTACAAATACTTGAATTGTTAAAATAAAAAGTAAACTTACTTATGTCTCAATATTTTGAAGGTCCATCTTTGTACTCCTTGCTCTTCCTTGAGAGTAGGTGAAGATTGCAATGCACAAACACCAAGTCTTCATTACGGCTTGTTGCTAGTCGATTTCTTTTCACACTTTGAATCACAGAATAGGTGCTCCAATTCCTCTCACAGCAAGAGGAAGATGCTAGTTGTGAAAGCAATCTAAAGGCCAAGGCTTGTAGCAAGGGTGATGAAGCCCTTTGATTGGCCCACCAAGAAATAGGTTCCTCAAACATTCTTGCATCGACAACATGAGCTTGACCGAAATAGTCAGACCCACTAGAAAATGCTCCATATTCAGCATACACCTTTCGCAAATCAGCTTGATTAGGAAAGAGCCTTTTAAAACATTTTCCTCTATTTAGGGAGACTTCTTGATCTTCATGTGGCGCTACCTGGGCCACTCCATTACCTCCACTATTCAACCAAGCATTACAATAGTACTTCGGGACCAATGAATGTGCCATACAATGCAAGGAGTATTACTTTTGTTCCATCTCCCCTCCAAAACTTGGTGAACATCAAAAAAGTCCGATTGACCAATAATCATGTCTTTTCCTTCATGTTCAAAAATCCTCCTTTTGACATTTTCAATCATAGTATCCCACATATCATATACTAGATGCAAAACTGGGGTGTCTGTGTCAGCTATCCTCAAAATGTCAATGAGAGGTTCAGTAAAATTTAGAAGATAATCTAAATCATCCCAAAAAGTGTCATCAACAATGCATTTTTTCACATCACAAGCTATATTTTCAACAACTGTGTTTCTATCTGCCCTATATATGTTTTCCAGTTTGGATCCATGACCATTTTTTCAAGAGATTCTTTAACTTCCCTTAACCGTTTAGCCATGATAAAGCTAGATGCAAATCTAGTTTCAGCCACAATTAGCAATTTTAGTTTAGAGTACTTGGTGAAGAGGAAATTTGTTTTGTCATGGTTGAGAATAAAATTATGAATATCTTGCACTTGCTTAACCAAATCTGAAATCCTCTTACATTGGGCATGCTGAGGTGATTTTTCCGCTAGGTCGCAGATGATCTTCAACGCCAAGTTGAGACTGTGCACAACACATGGGGTCCAAAAAACATGTGGGTATTTGGTTTCAATGCTCAACCCCACAGCCTTGTAGTTCGATGCATTATCAGTTACAATCTGGACCACATTCTCTTCTCCTAATTCCTTGATCACTTGCATGAACATGTTTGCAATGTACTCTGCACCTTTGGTATTTCCACTAGCATTAATGGCTTTTATGAACATGGATCCTCCTGCAGATGCTGCCATTATGTTGATCAGAGGCCTCCGATGCCTATCAGACCAACCATTAGATACCATTGAAACACCTCTCTTACTCCACGTATCTTTGATTGGTTGCAACAACCTGTTGACATGTTCTTTTTCGTGATACAACAAAGTTGTTCGTAGCCTATTGAATGTAGGAGGAACATAACTAGCCAACCTGTAATTTCCAGGGATTAGTATGTATTTCAAAAATAGGTGGGATCCTGGAATGTGCAAAAATTAAATGGCAATAGGAAGGATGAACATGACCCCATACCTCGAATTTCCAAGGGTTAGTGAGTACTTTCGAAAATAGGGAGACCTTGCAAAATTAAATGGCAAACCACGGCGTAGAACATTTGAGCAGCTTCTTTATCAGCAACATCTCTGTCCGCAACATTGAATGCCGAAGGTAAAGGACCTTGAGGGGCCATTCCCTTGTGTTTTTTCTGTGGATTGGTGGATTTCTCATAGTTGGTGCTACTGTGCATGCAGCATCGCCAGATGCCATTAGGGTATGTTTAACGAGTTTAAATACTAGAATGTCTGAGGCAGCATATGGATAGGGGTTCGGGATGGACTCTCAGTCTGTCACCTATTTCTTTTGATATGATCAATGTGTCTAGCCTACTCCTGAGTGGAAAGTGTACGTGTGCATGTAAGTGGCTTAAGAGGATCAAATTAGGTCTTAGACATGGTAATAACTACTGTTTTCCACCACATCCACACCTTATCCATGGAAATATTATAACCTTAGACATCCCAGCTGGGAGGTGAGACTTTGGCTAACCGAGCTAACCCGTGATGGATGATGTTCCTTCTATCTTAAGGGTGGTTGTCAGTTTCCTTCGGTCTACCTTTTTGAGAAATGTTTCCCGCTGCAGATGATTTTGTGCTTCTTGAGCAGTGCTGCTTTAGCTTCATTGTGTATTTTGGCTGATAGTGAAATATTCGCTTCCCAACTAGGGATAAGCAAAGATAAATTTGAGTGGTGAGACAATGTAGTGAAGTCAGATGTCAAAAAAGCCAACCCCAAAGAGAGAGAGCTATAATTTGTTCTTATATATTCAGGATTGCCAAATGCTTATGTTTAGGTGTTCATAATTATGGCGGTCATCCATATAATTCACATAAATCAGAAATTGCATGTGTCTAGGATTGCAAATAGGGGATCGACCTTGAAACGTTGAAGCAACATGTTTATGACTTTTTTTTTGGAGGGGGGGGGGGGTTGAATAGGTTTTATGCACTTGAATGCAAAATTATACCCAAATAAAACCTAACTCACACAATTACAAAATTGAACCCCTAAGTGGCATAAACCTTTGACCTAAAGAATGAATGTGTATGTTAATTTAATGAAAATTTAGTTTGACACAATGTGGGATTCAACCATTCATCCTATCAAGCATAAAAGAAAGAATAAAAAATTACAGGATATAAAGGCAAACAATCACACAACACAAGTAATTTTTATGTAGAAACCTTTTCGGGAACACAAGACTGATCGTGGCCCACGTTACCTAATTCACAAGTTTCAAACTTAAATTAGTTCGAAGTCTTATATCATCAACCAATTCCATGGCTAGCAGCTTCCTCCTTGAATTTTCACCTAGAAAATCCACTGCTAGCGTCTTGACAACTAACTTGTAAGGCAACGAATCGATATCTAAGATCCGTCCTTTTGGAATCCTCCATCTTGTCCTTTGGGAATCCTACCTTAATCCTTAAGTCTCTTTTTTGGATCTTTTGTGTTGTAGGTTTGATTGGTGTTCAAGATCTTTAACAATAGATGCTCAATTCTTCATTAGAATTTTTGTTGATCTTGAAGGAATTGGGTTTTAATCTCTACAAAGACGTGTTTTCTCTTGAAAGAGCATTCTCTCTAAACCATAGAGTTTCTCTAATATTCCCTTGTCCCGTTCTCTAATTCACAAGGGACTGCCTCTATATATTGGAATAGGAAACAAGAGTTTTGGTCGAGTTTGGAAACTTGTTTGTGTCACAGCGCTCGACCCTAAAATGAGCGGTCCGAGAATGCTAGCCACTAGAAAGCAAAACTGAAGCCATCAAGGGGCCAACACTCGAGTGTTGGCTACTAGAATTGTTTTCTAGCCCCTACTCAATTTCCTAAGTCCTGAGAGCAGACCGAGAGCGCTTGGTTTACTCAAAAAACCAAGGCCCTCAAATAATTCTTTAAGTACCAAGGGTTTTCATCCAATGAAACATTTCAATAACCATTTTCGAAAACTAAAATCCTAAAGTTTCAAAAACATTTTAACACAAAAAATGCACGAGTCATGAACAAATTACATACTCACATTCTAAATCCAATTATAACACCTTAAGTTAAACCAAATTAGGGAAACTAGGTATCTTGGTCAACTTACCTCACCGAAACTTGATAGGATCCAAGAAGTCTTCATACGTGTATTAATGTAGCTTGAGCTTTTTCACTATATCTTGCTTTGTTCTTCAATCTTTAATAGCCACTTGATCATGTATTTAGTTGAGATACAAGGTACATTGTGATTTCCCAGAATTCAGCAATTACAATATTTTTTCTTACAATGTCCAAATACGAGATAGGTGTCATGTTTTTTACTGTCTAATATTTTGATTGTGAATATTGAGAACCACCCTATTTGCCATAGCTTGTTATGCACTATCTATTTATCTATACTATTAATAAAAGTACCTTAATATGAAAAGCTTTTGATTTTCTATTTTACCCTTATAAATAATTGCAAAGATCATTCTATCGTTTCACTGTTAAATATCTAAGTTATCATNACCATTAGATACCATTGAAACACCTCTCTTACTCCACGTATCTTTGATTGGTTGCAACAACCTGTTGACATGTTCTTTTTCCTGATACAACAAAGTTGTTCGCAGCCTATTGAATGTAGGAGGAACATAACTAGCCAACCTGTAATTTCCAGGGATTAGTATGTATTTCAAAAATAGGTGGGATCCTGGAATGTGCAAAAATTAAATGGCAATAGGAAGGATGAACATGACCCCATACCTCGAATTTCCAAGGGTTAGTGAGTACTTTCGAAAATAGGGAGACCTTGCAAAATTAAATGGCAAACCACGGCGTAGAACATTTGAGCAGCTTCTTTATCAGCAACATCTCTGTCCGCAACATTGAATGCCGAAGGTAAAGGACCTTGAGGGGCCATTCCCTTGTGTTTTTTCTGTGGATTGGTGGATTTCTCATAGTTGGTGCTACTGTGCATGCAGCATCGCCAGATGCCATTAGGGTATGTTTAACGAGTTTAAATACTAGAATGTCTGAGGCAGCATATGGATAGGGGTTCGGGATGGACTCTCAGTCTGTCACCTATTTCTTTTGATATGATCAATGTGTCTAGCCTACTCCTGAGTGGAAAGTGTACGTGTGCATGTAAGTGGCTTAAGAGGATCAAATTAGGTCTTAGACATGGTAATAACTACTGTTTTCCACCACATCCACACCTTATCCATGGAAATATTATAACCTTAGACATCCCAGCTGGGAGGTGAGACTTTGGCTAACCGAGCTAACCCGTGATGGATGATGTTCCTTCTATCTTAAGGGTGGTTGTCAGTTTCCTTCGGTCTACCTTTTTGAGAAATGTTTCCCGCTGCAGATGATTTTGTGCTTCTTGAGCAGTGCTGCTTTAGCTTCATTGTGTATTTTGGCTGATAGTGAAATATTCGCTTCCCAACTAGGGATAAGCAAAGATAAATTTGAGTGGTGAGACAATGTAGTGAAGTCAGATGTCAAAAAAGCCAACCCCAAAGAGAGAGAGCTATAATTTGTTCTTATATATTCAGGATTGCCAAATGCTTATGTTTAGGTGTTCATAATTATGGCGGTCATCCATATAATTCACATAAATCAGAAATTGCATGTGTCTAGGATTGCAAATAGGGGATCGACCTTGAAACGTTGAAGCAACATGTTTATGACTTTTTTTTTGGGAGGGGGGGGGGGTTGAATAGGTTTTATGCACTTGAATGCAAAATTATACCCAAATAAAACCTAACTCACACAATTACAAAATTGAACCCCTAAGTGGCATAAACCTTTGACCTAAAGAATGAATGTGTATGTTAATTTAATGAAAATTTAGTTTGACACAATGTGGGATTCAACCATTCATCCTATCAAGCATAAAAGAAAGAATAAAAAATTACAGGATATAAAGGCAAACAATCACACAACACAAGTAATTTTTATGTAGAAACCTTTTCGGGAACACAAGACTGATCGTGGCCCACGTTACCTAATTCACAAGTTTCAAACTTAAATTAGTTCGAAGTCTTATATCATCAACCAATTCCATGGCTAGCAGCTTCCTCCTTGAATTTTCACCTAGAAAATCCACTGCTAGCGTCTTGACAACTAACTTGTAAGGCAACGAATCGATATCTAAGATCCGTCCTTTTGGAATCCTCCATCTTGTCCTTTGGGAATCCTACCTTAATCCTTAAGTCTCTTTTTTGGATCTTTTGTGTTGTAGGTTTGATTGGTGTTCAAGATCTTTAACAATAGATGCTCAATTCTTCATTAGAATTTTTGTTGATCTTGAAGGAATTGGGTTTTAATCTCTACAAAGACGTGTTTTCTCTTGAAAGAGCATTCTCTCTAAACCATAGAGTTTCTCTAATATTCCCTTGTCCCGTTCTCTAATTCACAAGGGACTGCCTCTATATATTGGAATAGGAAACAAGAGTTTTGGTCGAGTTTGGAAACTTGTTTGTGTCACAGCGCTCGACCCTAAAATGAGCGGTCCGAGAATGTTAGCCACTAGAAAGCAAAACTGAAGCCATCAAGGGGCCAACACTCGAGTGTTGGCTACTAGAATTGTTTTCTAGCCCCTACTCAATTTCCTAAGTCCTGAGAGCAGACCGAGAGCGCTTGGTTTACTCAAAAAACCAAGGCCCTCAAATAATTCTTTAAGTACCAAGGGTTTTCATCCAATGAAACATTTCAATAACCATTTTCGAAAACTAAAATCCTAAAGTTTCAAAAACATTTTAACACAAAAAATGCACGAGTCATGAACAAATTACATACTCACATTCTAAATCCAATTATAACACCTTAAGTTAAACCAAATTAGGGAAACTAGGTATCTTGGTCAACTTACCTCACCGAAACTTGATAGGATCCAAGAAGTCTTCATACGTGTATTAATGTAGCTTGAGCTTTTTCACTATATCTTGCTTTGTTCTTCAATCTTTAATAGCCACTTGATCATGTATTTAGTTGAGATACAAGGTACATTGTGATTTCCCAAAATTCAGCAATTACAATATTTTTTCTTACAATGTCCAAATACGAGATAGGTGTCATGTTTTTTACTGTCTAATATTTTGATTGTGAATATTGAGAACCACCCTATTTGCCATAGCTTGTTATGCACTATCTATTTATCTATACTATTAATAAAAGTACCTTAATATGAAAAGCTTTTGATTTTCTATTTTACCCTTATAAATAATTGCAAAGATCATTCTATCGTTTCACTGTTAAATATCTAAGTTATCATCTTATCCTTATATATCTAATTCTCCAAATTACCTCTAAAATTTATTTTAATTATCTATGATTTATGTATAAATATCAGTTTCTATGAAATTTTGTGATTGACTATATTACCCTTAAAAATATGCATCATTATATTTTCTGTAAAGTGTTTAAAAGATCTTCAAAAACTCCATCAATCTAATATTACTCATCTCATATATAAAGATAACATTATGCCTATATGTATATATTTTATTTTCCCTCGCACCGTCGAGGTTCCACCAAAAAAAAATACATATATATGTATAGATTTTATTTTTCATCAAAAAATTTAAAACTTTCATTTCTATATATATATATATATATATATATATATATATATATAGTTTTTTAAAATCAATTTATATTACATTAGTACAATTCTTCGGTCACAATAATTTTCTATGTTGTATTGAGATTTTATGTGAAATTATATTGTAGTGCCTTTTTAAATGAAACTTGAATTTTTTAGAATTTTAGTATACTTTATAATATATATTATAGAGTAGTATATTAAATCTTATCTCAATTGATTTAATTAATTCCTAATTACAGTAAAGTTCCAATATGATTAGTATATTGACAATTACTTTTATTTTATTCAAAAAATTATAAGTGCAATCCTAATTAAATAAATTTCAAAAAATTTAATTTCTCAAACATCACTAAAAAATCACTCTCAATTATAAAATTTTAAAAACAAAAGTAGAACTTTATCCATTTCTTTTTTTAAATAGATAGAACAACGAATTTTGGGAATATACAAAGTTTTCATAAACTATAATAGAATATGAGCAATAAAAAATTAAGTTTAGTAAATTTGAGATGATATTTAATTCATATACATATATACCTAATATGCTGTATTAATTTTTGTGTATAAAAATTATTCACGTGCAACGCCTGTGGTGTATTGCTATTCTTAGTAAATGTCTGATAGTTTCATCATTATCCCAATGATAATCTACTTGCCTGCANGTATTAATTTTTGTGTATAAAAATTATTCACGTGCAACGCCTGTGGTGTATTGCTAGTCTTAGTAAATGTCTGATAGTTTCATCATTATCCCAATGATAATCTACTTGCCTGCAAAAGAATTGATTAATTTTTGTTTGCATCGTCTACTATTGATGTTCTTTCGACCTCTTGTCTTTACCATTTATAATTAAGCATCATTGCTGCTAATATTTCCAGATAACAGAGGAGTTTGAAGAAGTTCCAGTACAGAGTCGTGGCTTTGGAATTCTAGATGTCGGGTATCGTTCACAGGTAATATGTGAATTTCATTATGTAGTGGTAGTATGTTACTCAATTTGCCATTCTTGAGCAGCACATCTTATGCCTTGCACTACCCAGAGATGAATCATCTTTATGTATGAAATAGCTGACGTCATGGGCCAGGGGTTTGGGGAAGGGCTGCATAGCTTGTGCTACCTTTTCGGTGGATAAAGCATAGAGCGGGTTGATTCTTGAAGTAGAAACAGGTTAATGCATTAGGTTGTTCTTTCCATCATGAGGATAAAACATAGAACAACACAGAGAAGGAAATCAAGCTGTCTATGCTATTCTTAACATAGATGAGTGAAAGGACTTAGAAAATTAAGAATAGAAATGAGGTTTTCTGACAAACATCAGTAGTCAGCATGTGAAATACGTCAGGGAGCACCCATTGAAATTATATAGTGATATCTGCAATATTAACATGAGAAGATGAACTAAGGTTCCGAATGCCAAAGAAAACATTGGAAAATTTAGTAGTGGATGATATTTAATTTATGTGCACTTAGCATAATGTAATAGTAGTTCATTATTGCCCTTCTCCAAACTGCACGTGGTTGTCATGCAACTGTTGGTCGATTGGCTAAACAATCTGTTGATAAGGAGTTTTAACACGTTCATGGAGAAAAAAAATGATCAACAAACAAGAATTGTTGTGATTATACTGGCTGAAGCAAGTATTTTGTTTGCTCTAAAATTATAACTGCATACTTAAAACATGCCATTAGGTTGTACCTTGTAGCTTTTAGATGATATTTTTTTGAATCTCCAGGTCTATTTCATTACATTTTCTGAGTAAGCTGCCAAGTTTAATTTTTTTTTTTTTCATGAAAACTATTCATTTCTTTTTAGCTTTTTGTGATGCATTTTTTGTGCTATTCATATCCTGGATGATGGTCGTATAGGTAGAGGCTTGGGCCGCTGGTGGCAGTGGAATTCTGTTGAAAACCACGAACAGTGGCAAGACATGGACTCGTGATAAAGCAGCTGATAATATTGCTGCCAATCTGTATTCAGTAAAGTGAGCTCCATACCTACGTTAACTAATATGTTAATTTCATTGTTTGGCTGATCACATTTTTGGAAATGTGAAGCTCAGGCACCTTCTTGAGGAAATTTCTACAGCACCTGTTTTTAGACATTTGCTCGCCTTTCTTTCCTTTTCCAGCCATATTCTTATTGCTAATTTGACGGCGGAAGTAAGGCTGAAAATTTCCCACTTCAAAATCAATAGGTGGTTAGCATTGAGTGTTACACACAAACATTATTATTTGATGTTTCTTTTCTTCATCTGGCTAGAAACCAAAAAAGAGCTAAAATGACTCCGTGTTTACATGTAAAGCATTGGGAGGTCACATAGTATCTCTACTTACTAATTATGCTTGGAGCTTTGTCACTTACCTAAAATGTTAATTGTATTCTTCATGTTCTATATCCAACAGTTGGGTTTAAGCTTATTATGAATTTATCTGGTGCAGGTTTATAAATGACAGAAATGGTTTTGTGCTAGGAAACGATGGTGTCTTGCTCCGGTATCTTGGATAAATCAACAGTTCAAACCGTGGTAATTTACTTCACATTTTGTTTTGGGTGTTATCTGTGTCCTTCTTCCCTTCTGATAATGAACTCCAAAAAGAAAAAATTGTTGTTGGAAGAATGCATGAGAGAGAGAGAGAGAGAAAGAGGGGGGGGGGGGGGGGGGGGGGGGGTTTTTTGGG